CCAAGCTAAAACTACCTAGCCTGACTTTTCCTGGCCCTGCCACCCTGGCTGGCAAGGTAAGGGATCTTTACAGTTTTCATAGTGACTCTGCAATTTCCCCTGACCTTTATCAACTCCAAAAAACAAATGATAATAAAGGATTAGGAAAAGGAGGGGAGTGAATTGAAAGTGAAGTATTGGAGTGAGGTGAAAAGAGCAGTGCTAAAAACCAGCAAGAAGAAAACAAGTCCTATTAAAAACCACAGTAGTGTAGCTGAAGTGATGATCAGACTGTAATATACATATTATATGTATATTGGAAGTCTAAGGAAATGGAAGAGAGAGACTGTGAAAGGGCCCAGTAAGGAAAGAGAGATCTACAAACAAATTTTCACTGCACCTGACAGCAGTATTTATTATTTTTATTATTATTCCCCACTTTATCTCCCCCAAAGGGGACTCAAAACAGCTTAACATAAAAGCATCAGCATATCCAATTAAAATATACAAGTATATGAACATTAAAAAAGGATTAAATATAAACAATTTCTTAAAAATCCCAGTTAAAAACCATTAAAACAAATTCAAAGTTAAAAACCATAGCACCCCCTAACTAGATCTTAAACGCCTTCATCTTTAAATGCCTGTTTGAATAAAAAGGTTTTAGCCTTCTGCAGAAAGACAACAGAGAGGAGGCCATTCTTGCTTCCCTGGGCAGGGAATTCCAGAGTCGAGGGGCAGCCACCAAGAAGGCCTTCTCTTGCTCCCTTAACCAAGCCTTAGATGAAGGTGGGACTGAAGGCCTCTCCTGAAGATCTCAGGTCCTGGGCAGATTCATACAAGGAGATGAAGTCAGACAGTGCCTCTCAGTCCCATCCCAGCAAGATGATCCAGAATGATACCATGGTCAATGGTATCAAAAGCCGCCGAGAGATCCAGGAGGACCAACAGGGACACACTCCCTCTTATCTAGCTCTCTTCGTAGTTCATCCTCCAAGGTGACCAAAGCTGTCCTTGTTCCATAGTCAGGCCTGAAACTAGATTGAAATGGATCTAGTTAATCAATTTCAACCAGAAATCCCTGGAGTTAGGAGGCCATCACATGCTCCAAGACCTTGCTCAGAAATGGAAGGTTGGACACTGGCCAATAGTTGTCCATTGTAGAGCGGTTCAGGAGTGGCTTTTTAAATATAGGTGTTACAACTGCCTCCTTTAGGCAAATTGGAACTTTGCCTTGTTCCAAGGAAGCATTGACTACCAACTTCACCCACTCTGCCAGTCCCCCTCTGTCCTGTTTGATCAGCCAGGAAGGTCAAGGATCCTTTAATACACGTGGTAGCTCTCACCTCTCCAAGGATCCTCCTCCATGCTTCCTGCCCTTCAAATTTGTTTAATTTTTTATTTTTAAAAACCCTCCAATGATGGCCATAATTTATAGAGGACATGAAGGTAATTTTTCAATGTTTAAGGCCTCTAAGAAGTATTAATGTCTCTCTTTCTTGTCTCACCAGCTCCTGGACAGAAGATACCAGGGCACAGATCTTCTCAGAGAGTTCAAGTACACATGGACTGACAGAGGCTCAATGGAAAAAAATCGAAAATAATATGGAGGCAAAATTCAAGGAATTTGAGAATTTGGCAACAGCTGGATGGAAGCTGATAGCTGAGGAACACTTCTTGAGTGAGACAGTAAGTGTGCAAGACCACAGCACACAAATGGCCCAGACGCAAATTCACATTTAGAGTTGCCATATGACCAGAATGGCTGATTTTTCATGACATTCTATCTGCTATCTGTCTAGATCAGTGTTTCTTAATCTTTGGTTCTCCAGGTATTTTGGACTTCCGTTCCCTGAAACCTGACAGTTGGCCGGTCTGGGTGGGCCTTCTGTTAGTTGAAGTCCCAAAAACCTGGAGGGATAAAAGATTGGGACCCACTGATAGACCATTAAGCTTGGTCATTGTTTACATGTTCGTCTTTTCAAAATAAGGCTCTGTCCCTTTACAGTGGTTCTCAAATTGTGAGTCCCCAGGTTTTTTGGCCTACAACTCCCAGAAATCCCAGCCAGTTTACCGTCTGTTAGGATTTCTGGGAGTTGAAGGTCAAAACATCTGGGGACCTGCAGGTTGAGAACCACTGCTTTAGGACATGAAGATAGACTGGGGAAGCAAAGCCTAATTGTTTTGTGAGAAAAAAAAACTTTCTGCTGCCTTTTAGGGATAAGCAATGAGTAAAATACCACAGTCCTATTGTCATGCCAGTGAATTTTTACAGGGCCACAGAAAACTGTGGAAAAGATAATAACAGAACCAAAGCTTGGGAATAAAGTCTGTTGCATTAGCTTCAGTAGATGTGACAATCTTCCCTGGGTTTTGGGGGGGGGGGGGAGAGATAAGTTCATTTTATTTTCCCTAAACCTACTGAGAGATGAATTGGGTGGTTCCAGCTAAAAAGAAGGAAATGAGAGGAAGCAGAAGAAGCAAAGGTAGGCTGGCAGGCAGGCAGGCAGACACATAAAAGAATGTGTTGCAACAGCAGATTCCCAGATTAGTTTAGTGTTTACACCTTATTTTATTTTTGTTATTTAATATTTAATGTTTATTTTACGTGATATTTGCATGATATTTAAGTGATATTTGTCTTTACTGTTCTAATGTAGCACAAAATCTATGTAAAATCATACTACATATTATTGACATTAATACTGAAATCTGAAATATATACAGAAATATACAGTCTGTTTCTAATATGTTATATGTTGTTTTTGGTTTTTGACATTGAATATTGGCCTGTCATCATTGGTAAAGAGTCTGGGAGTCCTCTGCTGACGATGGAGGCCCAGGTCTCTGCCGTTAGCAGAACCGCCTTTTTTCATCTGTGGCAGGCTAGACGGCTGGCCCCCTATCTGTCCAGGGACGACCTATCTACGGTGATCCAGGCTGCAGTCATCTCAAGACTGGACTACTGTAACGCCCTCTACATTGGCCTTCCTCTGTCGGTGATCCGGAAGCTCAAGTTGGTACAAAATGCAGCTGCTTGGCTTCTTGCGGGAATTCCGATGAGATGCCACATAACCCCAATCTTACTGCAGCTGCATTGGTTACCAATTGAGCACCGGATCACTTTCAAAGTGATGGTACTCACCTTTAAGGCCTTGCATGGTCTGGGGCCCATGTACCTGAGGGACCGCCTCACTCCCTACCAACCCCAGAGATCCCTCCATTCTGAAGACCAAGATTTGTTGGAAATTCCCAGTGTCAAGACCTTGCGTCTAACAGCAACCAGACGCAGAGCCTTTACAGCAGTGGCACCATCACTCTGGAATACTCTGCCACCTGAAGTCCGTGCCTTGTGGGACTTATCAGCTTTCCACAGGGCATGTAAGACATATCTGTTTTGACAGGCATTTGATCTTTGATATTGCTGTTTTTAAATTGTTTTAAATTGTTTTTAAATTGTGTTCGATTTTAGCCTGTTCTTGTAAGCCGCTCCGAGCCCCAGGGGAGTGGTGGCATATAAGTTCAAATAATAAATAAATAAATAAATAAATAAATAAATAATTGTCTTTTTATCGTAAGCTGTGCTAAGTCCCCAAGGAGAGATAGAGCAAGTTAAAAATAAAGTTGTTTATTATTATTATTATTATTATTATTATTATTATTATTGTAATGTAGATGTCTGTTGTAGTTCTTGCATTCCTAGTAAATTGCATCATGAAATCTAAGTCCTTTTAGAAGGACTAACTTCACATTTCCTTGTAAGTGTTGATGCCTCTTTGCTTCCAATGATAAGCAAGTTAATAAGAAAATAATTCCAGAGCCATTCTCTTCTCATCCAAGTGTGCTTTTAAGAGTGCACCCACAGGCAGTAACTCACAGGATCACCATAAGTCAATAGGCAACTTGAAAGTGCTCACATATAAGCAGTCAGTCTCCATTAGTAAGGTTAGCACTGTCCTCAAGGGAGGCTTCACAGTTGTAGGTCATGTAGGTTAATGTTCAACTTAGTCAAAGCCCTAGAGCTGTAATATTGAAGTGTGCAATATCTCAATACTCCCAACATGAAAATATTATGTTTAGGATTCCCTGGGGCCCGACAAAATAGCTTTGTTGGCCTAATGCAATTCCTGAATTGTCTGTTTGTCAGTCCTGGCATAGAGAGTGGATTTCTGCATTAGTTTTTCATTAATGTAGTTACTGCTAAGGTGATGGAAAAGGAAAATAAAATGTTCAATGTCATAAGTTCAGTGGCTGCAAACAGGAAATCTGTGAACTTCCCATTCCTTGTCTGTGAGGTAAGATGATAAAGAAATTCTATTTCTAAAAGGACAGACAATGTGGTATAGTTTTTAGTGAGTTAAATTAACGTTCAGCAGTACAACCCCCCTCTTGAAGATAAAGCTAATCTTGGACAACTCAAAGTCTCTCGGCCAAATTACCTTATTGTTTTAGAGAGCATGCAGCAGTTAAAGGTGTTGATTTAAGGAGCAAACCTGCCAGTGGTTTGGGAAAAGAAACTAAGCTTGGTCATAGAAATGCTATTCTAAGAAAGGGTGGTAATTCAGTGTTGTGATCTATTCTAACCAGATCTTGGAAAGTCAAGAGTGTACTTAAGCCAGTGGTTCTCAAGCTTCCTAATGCTGCAACCCCTTAATACAGGTCCTCATGTTGTGGTGACCCCCCAATCATAAAATGATTTTCATTGCTAGTTCATAACTGTAATTTTGCTACTGTTATGAATCATAATGTAAATATCTGGTACGCAGGATGTATTTTCATTCACTGGACCAAATTTGGCACAAATACCCAATACGCCCAAATTTGAATACTGGTGGGAATGGGGGGGAGTTGATTTTGTGTTTTGGGAGTTGTAGTTGCTGGGATTTCACCTATGATCAAAGAACATTCTAAACTCCACCAACAAACCAAACTTGGCACACTGAACACTCATGACCAACAGAAAATACTGGGTTTGATGGGCATTGACTTTGAGTTTTGGAGTTGTAGTTCACCTACATCCAGAGCACTGTGGATTCAAACAAATGTGAACACTGGTGGAGTTTGGGGAAAATAGACCTTGACATTTGGGAATTGTAGTTTGTGGGATTTGTAGTTCATCTAAAATCAAAAAGGATTCTTGAACCCCACCAACGCTAGAATTGGGACAAACTTCCCACACAGAACCCCCATGACCAACAGAAAAAACTGTATTTTCTGATGGTCTTTCGTGACCCCTCTGACACCCCCTCACAAACCTCCCAAGGGTCCTGACCCCCCAGGTTGAGAAATACTGACTTAAGGGAAGAAGAAGAGGTGGAGAAACATCTCTAAGTGTATCAGTTTACATCACAGAGGTGTCAGATTAACACACATAAAGATAGGATACTATAACTATTACTAATGTCCACTGTGAGGCATTCTTCATTCTACAGTGCTAAGCATTGTTGCATTTCCAACATTTGGCAAGCATAAATTAGTGAGAGAGCCGTGGGACAACCACAAATGCTGCATTGTTCTCCTTGGAAGAAAAGGTAGAAAATGGATCTTATAAATAAATAAATGCTCCCAAATGTGAATTTGTCAATGAATCTGAAGCTCATATTTAAAGGGGGGGGGGGAGAATTTTACCAAAAAAAATTAAAGTGGCATTGCTGCCTCTTTTTGTTTCTTATATTTGTTCTGCCTTCAGATAAAGGAACGATTGGAGGAGCTGCAAAGTATGCTGGGATGGGTGATGGTTCGGTGGCAAGCACAGAGTTCTCAGAAGGATGCTGACAATGAAAAGAAGGGCCAAGAGTCTCAGGATGGTGTTCCTAATAAAACCCAGGTATGTCAGGTTAGTATGCAGTTGTTATGTAGTTTTATAAGAACTGGAACTAGCAAGCAGCCCCATTTGCTGGACTTTGTAAAATCTAAAGCAAAGAAACAGAATAGATCAGGACATAAAAGCTGGAAACTGTTTTTTATTATTATAATAACTTCCAGAATTAACTGTCTCAAGGATTCTGAAAGTTATCATTTGAAAGCTATTCCCAAGTTTTTCCCACGGTTGAGTTGGCTCCATGTCTCGTAGACTCAAGTATTCCTTTTGAGTGACCAGTGTAAACTTGACAGATTTATACATACAGTCCTCCAAACAGCATTTTCCCAGATTCCACGAGACTTTAAAAGTCATAACCAATGCTTTGAATTTTGCCTAGAAATTAACCAGTGAGGCAATTGGTACTCATGTATAATTGAGCTTTGTCAACAGCCTGGCCAGCATCTGAACTCTGTTCAAAAGCAGCTCCACATAAAGAATATTGCAGTAGTACCAAAGGATATAATTAAGGCATGAGGTAGTATGATGAGATCTGACATCTGCATAGGCAGGACAGTTGGTGCACTAGTTTTCACTGTGCAAACATATGCCAAAACGTGCCCATACATACAATTACAGGTCTTAATCAAGGAATACACCCTAACGGAATTTTCAAAGACGTATAGCCATATCCAACATAAATTGGGGTTCCATTCTGTGATCTGCTTTTTGACTTATTAGGAGACCTTCCGTCTCTGCCAGAAGAGAGTCCACCTTGGTTCACAGAGTCCACCTTGGTTCATTGGCTACTAACTTATCTTCTTTGTCTGCTTTGTTCCTTTGCTGGTGTTATCTTGACACAGGATGAGGGCCAGAATGGAACAGTGGCAAAGTTAGTAGTTGTGTCATCACGCAACAAGCTTTGATAGAACAGCTGCTCTAAACACCGATCTATGTGACTACATAGTATGAATTTTCAATGGTTTTGAATCATTCCTTATGTGAGGGAGATTGTGGCCTTGAAAAAATAAAAAGAAATCCTAGACTCAAGGAAGGAATTCATTATTGCTGCAACTTTATTATTTACTACATTTTTTAATCTTACAGATTAAAGTGCCTTCTGAAACCTGTGTATTGGGGACAGATGATACTTTGAACATAAGTGTGGCTGAAAGTCCTCTACTCACCCCAGGCTCACTAAAGAATGGTTTTGCAACACAGAACTATGAGAGAGAAGGGAGTTCTGCAATCCTATCTACCATAGATGTCCTTCCAATGCAGAAACAGAGCTTGAAGGAATTGGAAAATCATGTTCCTGCTGAAATAGTCATCCCCAAGAAGACTCTGATCCTTGAAGCTTCAGAGACACCAGTATTGCTGGTACCATCACCAGGCCCCAGCAGCCTGGGAGGCACAGTAAACTTGATCTTGAGCATTGGGAAGAAGGGGGAGAAAGAAGCTCCAGGAAACGAGGCTAGAATATCACCAACACTGGGACAAGAGGCCTTGCACAAGGTAAAAGACAGGTTAAGTGAAACTGTCAATACTGCTCTGGCAGTTATGGGGTCTTGCTATATACCAGTGGTTTCCAACCTTTTTTTGAGCAGGGACCACTTGAACAGGGACCACGCTCCAACATTAGTACCAAAAGGGTTACAAATTGGTTTTTGGTCAACTTTAGATTCAGTGTGATTATTTGGGGTGCTGATGCAGAAAATTGCACTGGATAGCTCTAGTTTCTGATACAGTAGTTGCCATCTGCTTGCCCACGGAAAACCATATTTAATAAGCCTGGGCACTATCAGAGGGTTTTGCAAGACCAGTCTTGTTTCAATGGTGTAGTAACGGTGAGGCCGTGGATCATATTTTAGTTCTTGCGGACCACTGGTAGTCCATGGACCACAGGTTGGGAACCACTCGTCATCTCTGTCATCTCTGACTATTAGGCCATTCTGGTTGGGGCAGATGGGGATTGCAGTTCAGAGCATCTGAGTGCCAAAAGATATCTACTCTTGCCCAAGCAGAATAAAAAGCCAGATTTTCTAACAGAGCTGTTGGGCTTGAGTACCTTCAGATACTGTTGGAGCTGAACACATATAACTAGCAAAGATGGGAGTCTCAGTCCAATGACATTTGAAAACCCACCTGTCATTGCCTTTCATTAAAATGATACAAGGGCTAATCATGGTCTGGCTGCATGATTCTGGCTAAGGATGACCAGTGAATCGTTTCTAACTGGGTAATAGGATGTTCGTGGTTACTCAGGAGCAAAGAGCCCAGAAACATCATTGCTTTTTCCATAAACAGCTGCATAGTGTATTTCTAACTAGCACATCTTTTATATGTCAGGTTTGTTGTTGTTGTGTTCCTGCCTATCTTTTCTTTGCAAGATTTGTTCAAAAGGTCCTTGCCTTTTTCTGAGGCTGGGAGAGAGAGTGACTTGTACTGACACCTTTCTCACATCCATCTTTTTCTGTCTTATTCGTTTTTTTTCTTTTTCTCTTGAAAACCAGCACTCTGAAACTAAACCTTCAACCTGTAAAACTTTCTGGAAACGTTGTCAGGGATTTTTAGGTAGTTTAAAGAGAAAGAAAAGGCTGCCACACCAGCATGCAGAAGAGGTAAACATGCTACAGGAGTGGAGTGGAGTGCATGCTAGATGGTTTGGCTGCATGATGCAAGGAACCCTTGACTAATCGATCACAGCCTCACTCCAAAAGAAGTTCCACCACACAGCCAATTTCCCAGGTTTTAGAGGACTAGCAGGTGTTTTTAATCTCATCTCCATGTCTGCACAGTTTAAGAAGGCATGGATGAGTTAGATGTGCATTGCATATTGTGTCTGAACTCATGAAGAGCTGTCCAAAGAAAAGTCCTTCTTTAGTACTTTGAATACTTTGTGAATTCTCTAAAGCTGGCATAGGCAAACTTTGGCCCTCCAGGTGTTTTGGTTTCAACTCCCACAATTCCTAACAGCCAACTTGTGGGAGTTGAAATCCAAAACATCTGGAGGGCCGAAGTTTGCCCATGCCTGCTCTAAAGGGTTGACAATATCAAATCAAAATGATAATCCATGCTTCTTGTAATAGCCTAGATGAGAGAATTTCAGCTTGTTTCCATGTCATAGTATTTCCATTCTGGGAGAATCCATATCTTTGCAAATTCACTATTTCAAACAATCGTTAAGAGCCATGGGGCAGTGCTTCCTACCCAGCCTAACAAACCTAGATTTAAACCTATAACCAGCACAGTGAAATATGGAGCAGTTTCATACAAAACATCATTCTCTTTCTGATCCCATCACAAAATGGATACAAAATTTGACAGAGAAATGAGCTTGAGGTATTCTGCCTTTTGATTTACATTAAAGGACAGGGCCAACAAATTTTCCTTTATTAAAATGTTTTTCTAGCAAGTGCTAGTTTGGAAGCTAAAATATAAGGCTAGTAGAAGGAAGGGTAATGTACCTGTTTTCTGAGGCTCTTACATTAACTATTGTCATTTTTAAAAGGCATGGAAAAGCCTGGGGGTTCTGTGAACTGCAGCTGCTGGAGGTGGGAGATTGGTGGCCGAATCATGTTCCAGAGACAGCTCTCCAAAACAAGTCACTCGAGATGTGTCCAGCCATGTGGGCTGAAGATAAGGCAGCTGCAGAGCTTTCAAATAGAAGAGGGTTTCTGGGGATAAAGTGAAATTCATCTAGGAAACCATCTGCCATTCATGAAGGCAATGCAATCTCAACCCCTAGCAGTGGAGTTAAATGTCTAAGCCTCCCCTGCAGCTGTTGCACATGAATGATCCCTTTTATACTGTGATCTGTTTGTGAAAGTGCACAGTAGCACCTGCTACAGTGTTTTACCCTACCCTCGTCTCCTTCCTGGCATCTGGGAAGAAGGGAATTTGGATTTTAAATATGCAGCTTCCACTAGGACACTGTAAGAATGTTTCCATAGCCACCTTTTCATATTGTATCTCAATGCTGAAGTAGTGTTAGGTGACTTGTGCTCCATTCAAGTTAGCAATTCCACTCCACCAAACACTTCCTGTAGAGTGTGCAGCAGAACTGAGTCATCCCAATGTCCTAAAACATAATTGGTAATTCAGACTTAGTCTCTCCACAGGACCAGAGTCGAGTAATCCTAATATCCTTGAACCCTTTTGCGGATTGTTCTCTGTAATGATTGTAATGAAGCATGAAAGAAGCCTTCTCTGATGGATGACCAGCACTGAGCAGAAAAATGCATGTATCAGTGCATGTTGATAAAGCAAGAGTTGTGTGACTGCAAGTTTCCTGTGATGCCATTCAGAAGAGGTTATTTTAGACTCCCATGATCTAGAAGAATATAGTTTGAAAAGATTCCTTTGTTTGACTGTAGTTTTCAGATTCTGCCTAGCTGGGCAAGTACATGAACAGTAGGTTTTTAAAGTGAAATTTCAGAACTTCTGAGATTGTTTCTTATTGTGGCTTCCCCTCTCCACAGGTGAGCACTTATTTGCAGATGAAAGAGAAAGATTTAGATGTCGTCCATGAAAGCTCAGTCTCCATGCCACAAACTATAAGCCAGATCCCCCCTCAAACTTATTCTTCCCCACTTCCTAGACCAGGGTGGACTACTACAGCCACCCAAACTTTGCCCAAGGCTAGCTCCAACTACTTTTTGCAAAGCCTGAACCAAAAAGGCAAAGGGAGGGCAGCAGGAGATGCCCAACTGCTAACCTTGCAGGGGATCATGGGAACAGAACTAAAGGATCTTCAGCTTGGGCAAGAAAAGAAGCAGAGTACTAGTAACACGTGGCCCCCTAAGAACAGGAGAATGGCACAATACCTGCGGACACCAAGAAACCTCAGAAATGTGACTCATTATGTGAACAACCCACTGGTACGGGCTATTGACAGTGATTGTGACTCAATAGGAGAGACATCTGAAGGACATGTACTCTTGGGACAAAAAAGAGGCCTCAGTAGCCCCCAGTTACAAACAGAGAAGATGAACACATGCCAGCATCTTTCTCTGGGCTCCATATTGAACATACAGCTTCCCAAGGATCCCACTACCCTCAGAAATGTCCAGGAGACCATCAAGGTGACCAAAGAGGGATTAGCAGAAAAGAAGTGTGCCAACCATCACTGTCAGTTGGCTCAAAGAAGCTCAGATGGGGCAAAGATTCAGGAGAAAATTACCATCCTGCAAAAGAGGGGACTAGAAGGGCAGTCAGAGATACACCAAAGTGCCCGCAGTAAGGATAAGGGTAGTACATGGTTTGAAGAGGTGAGTGCCAATCCAAGCTACAGCAGGCATAAAGCTCACATTGTGGCTCCTTGTAGGGAAGACAGACCAAGTCCTAAGAGTCACAGCAGCACTGGTGATGACTTTCTGGATTTCAAGCAGATCCGGCTGTCTCGCATCAGTGTACTGCATGAGCAGATAGACTGGGAATGGGACAAGCTAGCTGCCTCATTGGGTACAACCAGAAGCTCCAGTCACGTAGAGGCAAAAGACCCAACTGAGCAAAAAGCATCCAGGATGAGAATGAAGTCCTCTCCTACTAAGCATTCAAGCAAGGCCTCTTACACAACTCAAGTGAAGACCCCTTTAGTAAATGAAATGTCAGAGAAGGAAAACATCCAGAGCTCCATGGAAAGCTTTGTAAGAATTACTCCCACATTACCACCCCTGGCCATCAAATCTCCATCCAAGTTGTCCGTGTTCGAACAGCAAAGCATCCCAGCATCATCAAAGCCAGGTTCTCTCATCCTGACTTGCAGAGGAAATGTGACTGAAAGGCCAAAGTCACAAAACCTAGAGATGTGTCCTCCTGCCCATGAGTTGTTTGAAGAGGAGGAAGAGGAACTGCAGGCCATATGGAGCAACTTAGAGAAGCAGAAGAGAAACACAGGCACCCAGAGCATCACAGGGAAAAAGGCAGATAAGATCCAAAGCCCAGACAATTCTAATGGGAAACTCATACTGAAATCAGCAGATAACATCTTGGTAGCCAAGTTCAAGCTTCCTACCCCTGCCCAAATGCTTCAGAGCTTGGAAGAAGGGAGAGGGAGCAGCAATGGACTAGACAGCAAAAATAGCCCAAGTCAGTGTGACTGGGCACCCAGGCCTTTTTTCCAGGAGCCGTCTGAGAGGGTGGAAGCTTCATCCATAGGATCCCTACAAAGCACATGCCAGCTAGAACAGCGAAAGCTTGAAGATGGAGACAGAAATACTGGAAAGGTCAGAATAATTGTCTGTCAAGGTAGAGAGATGCAACATATTATAAGAATAGAGATTGGGAATGTTTCTCTCAGTATCCCTGACCCTCCACTGTTAATGGTCATGTGTGCGGCTCATAATCTATAGTCCAAAGAGTAATTTTCCTTAGTTCTGTTGTAACAGATTTCTCTGGTTGAAAAGGCGAATTTTAACTGTTTTCCATACATATTCCCAGATATTGTGAACAAATAGTGCAAATCAACTGCTACCTGTAGGAAACCCACAACTTATGGCCCTCCAGGTGTTTTGTACTTCATCTCCCAGAATTCCTGACCGTTGAACAAGCTGGGTAAAGTTTTTGGGAGTTGGAGGCCCAAACACCTGGAGGGCCCCAGGTTGTGCAGGCCTACTTTAAAGTAAAATCAGAAATAGGGAACCAGAAATACAAACAATGAGAGCTGTGCCATTGCTTCTGAAAAACTGTGTATGTTTTCATCTCCTCCAGCAAGGCTCCTGAATTGACAAGGGAAAGGATGAGGGAGATGGCACTGAAAATAAATTTACTAGGTTTTGATTTTGTGGGATAAGGCTTGCTTTCCCCATGAAGGTAGTAGATGTTAGATTGAAGGTTTATTACATCAAAACTTTGGCTCATAACGAATAGCAAGGAAATAGCTATATGATGTCAGTAGCAAGCTTATTAGATTAAGCTGTTCGAACATTTTGTTCAAGCATCAAGTACAATAATTTTCCACACCAACAGAAATGCATTCATTATTAACTTGGGAAGACTAAAAAGGAAATGTGATTATTGGAAGCATATCATTCTTTCTTTGCTTAGTTTTTTTTAAAGCAATCCTAAAATATCTTAGTAAGTAGAACTCTGTTGCTGGAGGACACCGTTCATGTTTGCTCACCATTGTATTTCTCCTTGCAGCAGAATCCCAGTAAACTGGAGCTTCAGATGATGGAAGGGACACTGGAAAGGAAGCATTTGTTACAGGCAGGAGGCAAAAAGGTATTGTCAAGTCTGCACAGCATTATGATGGGTAGAGTTGCTCTCTTTTCCTTTGCACTGAAATGCAAATAGACAAGGAGAGCACAAAAGCCAAAGCTTCCTCAATGTTTATTCACATGATACCAAGCCTTGGCTAAACTACAAGGCTTGTATAAGCCTTTCCAACTGACAAAGCACTATAGATTTTATGCCTTCCTTTACTTCCAAGTATCAGTTTCCCAAAAAAAGACACATTGTCAATATAGCCTGGTTCTAAGTTTGAAAAGGTGGAAAGAAAGTAGTTGTCTTCTTCAGATACTTTCTGGTGGCAAAGCATCTACTAGCTTGGTTTTGTAATTAGCATCAATGTCGGTGATTGGAATTTATTATCAGAGGAAAAAGTCACACTAGCTTCAACATCTTAAATAAAAATCCAATTTTTACCACCTTGAATACTTCTCAAGTGCTGCATGTGCCTGCATTCTGTCCCCAATCATCTCAAGTGCTTGAAATAATGGCTTAATTTAGATGTGTACAGGACAGTGAAGATTTATTTTAAATCTTCTGTATGCATGTAAGTAATACAGAAGTTATGTTTGCATATTTCAATCCACAGACACTAGACTTTCACAGACTGTTGTAGTTCAGCCTTTGATCATGCCTGTACCTGATCTCATTGGGGATCCTGGGCTTGCTAGTCAGCCTGATGATACTGAGGATTCAGGGCTTGCAAGCCAGCACAAGAGCCAAGAGGTTTTAAGCTCAGAAATTGAGCAGTCTCTGTCTGAAGCCCACATTCCAGAAAGGCAGTTCACTAGGGAAGCAAGGTCAGAAACCGAACTGAGCTCAGAGGATGAAAATGAAAGTCCAGGTGGATAGACTAATGAGCAGTTCGATAGGAGATTTACATTCTGTCAACACAGAGCTTCTCAGGAGAGTTTACAAAGGTCAAGACGCCTATTAGCCAAGAAGTCCTTATCAGTTTCCCAGGGGAGAAGGCATGATTTTCTGTCTATATTAGCAAGACCAGCAGACTATTTCACCAGTCTAGGCAACACTGGTGTTTGAGTATAGAACTTCTGTCAAGTCAAGGGATTTCTAATTCCATGTTTCCTTCTGTTCATGTTTCATGCTTCCAAGTTTTTGAAGAGTGTTCCTGAATCTCATGTTTTGGATTTACTCTGTTTTTGTATTTCTGGTTTTTGATGCTACTCATGTACTTTGAATTCTGTGGATTATTCCTGATATTCAGACTTTGGTTTTTTATATTATTTTGCTGAATAGCTTTTCATATATATTCTTCAATAAACCGCTTTGCTATTTTACCTTGAACTGGAGTGTGTGTTAAGTACAGAGGTGATTCCCTGCTCTGGAGTGCAACACAGACATGCTTTCAAAATCTATTAAAGAAGGCATAGTTATGCATTACATCAAGAAAACTCCAAGCCTTTGCATGTTGGGACACATTCAGCTAGAGAAATGGCCATATACTTTAGAGAAATGGCTTCTACTTTAGAACCTCCATCAGATTAGATGAGATGTGCAGAACAACCAATTGGAAGACACTGTCTACACTTGTCCTGCTCTATGAGACTGATAAATGCATAGCTGCAGGAGTGATTTTGCAAGCTGTATTTTGCAGGCTGTACTCTACACAGAAGCCCAGTATCCAAGTGCTTGGGTAATATCTCAGAGTATTGCGGATTGCTCTTCTTTATCATCCAAAGAAAGAGGTGTTGGAACTCACTGTAAAGAGTCATTCTTGAATGAAGAGCAATCCACCAAGCAGATGAAGAAATTATTAGTTAGCCATCCAAAGGCAAATACAGGCAAATTGAGAACTTCATACACATATATATCTTACAAATAAATCTTAATTTTGATGTACTCCAGATCATAGTGTGGAGAAGATACTTTTTGGGCATACAGCTTCCAATGCACTCCAACTGGCAGGAATCATGTCTGGGGTTTTAGAAATTATACTCCAAAAAAGTAAAATTTCCAAGGTTTTCTCAAGATCTGACTTTTTTACTTCTGTTCTCCTAGGCAAACTGTCGGTCCTGGAATTCATTCCATACAGTGCTGATGAGACAAACCTTGTGTTTTTACCAAGACAAGAAAGATACCCTCAAGGTAGCCATTTAACATCAAAGGGGAAGAAGGGAAATAAGAAATGGAAAGATTTATAGTGTAGGACAGTGGTTCTGTGGGTCCCCATATGTTTTGGCCTTCAACTCCCAGAAAGCCTAACAGCTGGTAAACTGGCTGGGACTTCTGGGAGTTGTAGGCCAAAACATCTGGGGACCCACAGGTTGAGAGCCATTAGTGTAGGAGGACTTTTATCAGAAGCTTTCGTGCTTGTTCTGCTTCTCTCCTATGCCCATTTCCATCCTGTTTCAATTCATATCTTCATTGGGTTCATAATATCATCCTTCATACAAAGATTTTTCTGGAAAATATTGGGCATGCATATGATTGAGGATGTGCACTTGAAAATGTTGTTCATGGAAATTGATTTTAACTGTTGGTTTATAGTACATTACTTACACATTTTACTGTATTCTCTGCCAACATAGAACTTGAAACACAAGAAAATAACCACTGTTATGCAATACAGTCATTAGAAGCAAGCTGTAATTGTGTTTTAAAAGCATGTCTATCCTTAAGTGGCAAATCTTATAACCAACAAACCTACCACAGATTATTTAAAGAAGAAAATGCAAGAAAAGGGGGGGTAAACATTAGAAAAAGAGAAAGCACCACCATTCCTGAATGATAATGCTTACTCAAGAGAGAGATATGTAGCTACCAAGACTATATTCTGAAGCTCAGAGACTGATCACAGTTTTTTTTTACTATAAATGCAGAATTGGTCAGCCTGATTATACTGGCTGGGAGATTTTAGAAACTGCAAAAAGTAACTTTTCGGATTCTGGCAAAATATGAGCTATACCAGTAAGAAAGCTCTGCCCTGTGCAGCATAACTGATGAAACATCACAATAAGCTTGAAGACTCATATTTCCAGATATTGATAGTCACATTTTGGGTGGTTTTTAAAAAGAGCTTTTGCCTTGTTTACGTCTAGTTTCAGTTTGCTCCATGCTTCCAGGCCAAAGAAACACTTGTTCACTGGAAACATTATTTTGTGTTTCTAACTGGCCTTAACATTTCAGATACTACATAATTTACTTTTCTTTGTACTGCAGAGCTCTGCAGTGGCCTTCCCACTAAACATTTCTGGAGCTGTTTGCACCCTTGATAAAGAATATACCAAAAAGGACAACTGTTTCACACTGCAGTGAGTACCCTCAAATTTCCATCTCTAAACAAGTTCATCGATTCAAACAGTTTTGACCACTTTAAAGCTAACACATGGAAGCAAGAAGTCTACTTTTTAAATTTTAATTTAATTTTAATTTATATCACTGCTTAATTGTTATGTAATGGATTTTATATTGCTGTTTTATATTGTTGTTTCGATACTGTTGGCATTGAATAGTTGTCTGTGTTAGCCGCCCTGAGTACCCCCTCAGGGGTGAAAGAGTGGGGTAGAAATGGTCTAAATAAATAAATAAATGCTTCTCCTCCTGTTACTACTATTACTATAAATCAATGGTCCACAACCTGTGGTCTATGGACCACCAGTGGTCTGCAAAAACTAAAATATGGTCCACAGCCTCACCATTACGACACCATTGCAACGAGAGCAACTGGTCTCATGAATCCCTTTTATAGTGCAGAGGCTTAATAAATATGGTTTTCTGCAGGCGAGCAGATGGCATCGACTTGATGGCATATATTCTGTATCAGAAACTAGAGCGGATGTGCTCTATCCAATGCAGTTTTCTGAATCAGAACCCCAAATAATCAAACCGAATCTAACGTTGACCAAAAACTGATTCGTAACCCTTTTGGTACTAATGTTGGAGAGTGGTTCCTGGTCAAAGTGGTCCCTGGTCAAGTGGCCCCTGGTCAAAAAACAGTTGGGAACCACTGCTATAAATCCTGCAGGATGCATGCTATACAATGAAGAGACTTAGTGAAGTGCAGAATATCTGTTAGCTTCTGTGACACTGCATTTTCTCAAGTATGAAGCCCTAAAGAACTGTCCAAGGTGCTTAACCCTGTTCCCAAAACAGTTTCAGCATCTTTATTTGTTTTCTTAAAGATCAAACTAAAACCCAGGGTGGATTCAGATCCACTGACAAGGAAGTCATACTTGCCAGTAGGTGAAATGATAGCCCCTGAAAGCATAACCAGTGATGCTATATCTTTGAAAGATTCCACCACCTAGTTTCCAGATTGATGTGGCTTTGAAACTTGCTCTGTCCATTATCTCAACAAAGTGCAACAAATCGCTGCAACAAATTACTTTCTGCTGATTTCCTTTTATACCCTTGTAGGATGAAAGATGGCTCCAAGTACCTCCTTAGAGCTCCAACTGAGCCACTCATGAAAGAGTGGGTTATAAAACTGCAGCAAAACTCAGGTAAGGCAGATATACTGTTGAGAGGAAACCATTTAGACCATTGATAGATCCAGGGGAGAGAGATATGGTTATCCATCAGAAACATAAGGCATTTGGAGATCTTCATGTGGCCAGTCTGTAATTTCCTAATGTTTCCCCACAACATTTCCCAAAGTGGGATTTATCTTTCTAATATAACAGGTGTGTGTGTGTGTGTGTGTGTGTGTGTGTGTGTGTGTGTATCCACATGGCATAGGACAGGGGTCCTCAAAGTAAGGTCCGAGGGCCGGATACAGCCCTCCAAGGTCATTTACCCAGCCCTTGCTCAGAGTCAACCTAAGTCTGAAATGACTTGAAAGCACACAACAACTACTACTACTACTACTACTACAACTATCCTATCTCGTCAGCCAAAAGCAGGCCCACATTGCCCATTGAAATACTAATAGGTTTATATTTGTAAAAATTGTTCTTCATTTTAATTATTGCATTGTTTTTAAGTGGGGTTTTTTGCACTACAAATTAGATATGTGCAGTGTGCATACGAATTCATTCATGTTTTTTTCAAATTATAATCTGGCCCTCCAACAGTTTGAGGGGCTGTGACCTGGCCCTCTGTTTAAAAAGTTTGAGGACCCCTGGTATAGGATCTCAGGTCTTGTCACCTCTCACCATTGGCTGTATTGACTAAGGTGGATGTAGATAGAAGTTGAATTCCAACATCTTGAAAGATACCACTCTCCACCACTGAGAAAACATAGGAATGTACTGGGCAGTTGAGAGTTTCATGAAAGAGATTGTAGTTTAATTTCTAATGTGGTCAAAAGGTCTATGACAAATACTTTTTTCCTGCTCACATATAAAACTTTGGGTTATATTGAACTTCTTCAAATGCTATTTTTTAGTTATATTCATAAAGTTCAAAGTAGAATGCACCACAAAGATATCTAAATTATATATGTATTATTTAAATATATTGTTTAGAGCAGATGTTGTGAAAATGTAATCTGACTGTGTTGCTCTGAAAGGTCATACAATTTTTTGTTTTGGGTAGAGAGAGGTTTGTATATGAAAAGTACTTTGTGCATATTTTTAAAATCTATTTCTCAATGGGTACTTTCCTCTCTTCCAAGGTGTGCTTGATGTGGATTATTTCCATTCAGCTTCCCAGGCTGCCCAAGAAAAAACTTGCTCAGTTAGGTAAGTATAGCTAGTAACGCTTCACTGCAGATGGATTTGCTAGGAGCAGGATTACAAGTCACTTTGGGTTCTCAATACCACTTTAGATTACCAATTTATATATGTCATCCAGTGCCATTTTGCCCAGTATTCTAAATTAAACCATGTTCTAGAACTTTCTGTCTAAATTTAAAACCAGAGTTAGATAGGCATTCACATTTTTCAGTGCAACTTTCTCATACTTTTTTTTTGCAGACGATTTAATATTTGGAGATGAATTAAGACATTTTTGAGTTTAAGCCACTATTTGTTCTTTCTGCCTGTCTTCTTTGGCCTTTGCCTTATTAGTGATGGCAGTTCTCTCAGTCACATTCCAGTAATATTCAATTGTTCAAAAAAAATTCAGCTGTACAAGCCATTCGGAATGACTGGGAATCTTTTTTGGCTCAGGAGCCACTCATAAACACGTTTTTACACACACTGGTATAGAGACCAAGGCAAAGGCATTAATCCTTACCAATTTGATCATTTTTCAACCAAAGGTTGAAAGCATAGCTCAGTCTACTTAGGAATAAGTCCTAGTACAGAAGTTTCAGCTCCATGCAGCTGCTTCACAGGTTGAAGTAACTTGTCTCAGATGTAGCTTGTTGATCTGTTAAGGAAGTCCTAAAGGCCATAAATGACTTATGGGACACATGTTTTGCATTGCTTTACTGGTTGATCAATTATATCCAGGACTCTTGTCTTATGTTTGTGGGAGATAAATAAATTTTACCAGAGACTGTCAGTATAGCCCTGTGCGAGTGGGGATTGGCACCCAACTGTTTTCCATTGCTGCCATTCTTTCCAGTGTGATTCCTGGCAGAGGTGTTTCCCACTTCTTGGGTCTTCAGCCTCCCTTTGCAAGCAAGAACCAAGATGCTGTGCTGCTGCCAAGGTCAAGGGTTAAGATGCAGTTGCCTTACGGTGCCCAGGAGGATCCAGCAGCATCAGAGACAGGTAAGTTTGTCAAATTCAGAGCCTCATCAGGCAGGTTTGATCTTCATCAGCAGTGTCCTGGTATCTCTTCAACTAAAGTGCCCTCCATGTGGAGTACACTGTTTTTTCTGAATAATGATAACAAACTTTATTTATACCCCACCACCATCTCCCCAAGGGGACTTGGGGCGGCTAACATGAGGCCAAGTCCAACAATTACAATAAAGCAAAGTAAAATACATACAGAAAAAATAATAACATCAAATAAAATGCAAACAATAACAAAATAATACATGCTGTTGCCAAGGATAATGCAGAAAGGAAGAATCCCAAGCCTTTCCCATGTCTTATTCCCTCTTAAAAGTAAAGATAAAGGTTTCCCCTTGACATTAAGTATAGTCTCTGGGGCGTGGTGCTCATCTCCATTTCTAAGACGAAGAGTGGCGTTGTCTGTAGACACCTCCAAGGTCACATGGCCGGCATGACTACATGGAGCGCCGTTACCTTCCCATCGAAGTGGTATCTATTGATCTACTCACATTTGCATGTTTTCGAACTGCTAGGTTGGCAGAAGCTGGGGCTAAAGTGGGAGCTCACCCTGCTCCCTGGATTTGAACCACTGACCTTTTGGTCAACAAGTTTAGCAGCTCAGTGGTTTAACCTGCTGCGCCACCGGGGCCTCCTCTTCCCTCTTAATTGAATTTATTTATGTATTTATTATGTTTATTTATATCCCGCTTTTTCTCTCCATATGGATATACAAAGCGGCTCATGATAAAAAGTATTATAATGCAACTTAAAATATACAAATATTAAAACAGTATTAAACCTCATTAATATTAAAAACAATTCAGGTTAATACCATAAAAGCATATAAAATCACAGCAGCCCCTGACAATCTTAAAATCTTTCTTCTTTAAAACACATAATCATCATAAACATTTTACAAAATACACATCTACAAAATACATATATTAAAATACACAGGACAAAGACTGAACACAAGGTGAGGGTGTAAAGGTCATGATTAAGGCCTGCCACAAGAGAAAGGTCTGCAAATGTATTGCACATTTTGGCAGCTCCTTTAGCAGTGGGATCTCTTCCAACTCCTAGAAGTACTGGGGAAATTGCAAGGCTATGTAAGAGCATGTTCTGGAGGCATTCTATGTAAGAGCATAAGAAGAGCCATATTTGGTTATACTGAAAGGCTTTTTTCTAGTCCAGGTTCTTGTTCACACCGTGACCAACAAGTTGCTTACCAGAAGCCCATGAACTGGACTTGAGTGCAGCTGTATCCCCCAACAACTCATACACACCAGAACATACTGCTTCTGATTATGGAGGTGCTTTTTGTCATAGAATCACAGAGTTGGAAGAGACTCCAAAGCCCGTGGTCTCCCAACACTTACTAGGATGTTGGTGCCTTTGGATGCATGCTCCATTTATGAAGAAAGAATAGCCCTCCTAATTTGCTTTGTAGTCAGACCATGGAGATGTTTGAACTGAAGAACAATGGGACTAATGTATTGTCGAAGGCTTTCATGGCCGGAATCACTGGGTTGTTGTAGGTTTTTACAGGCTATATGGCCATGTTCTGGAGGCATTCTCTCCTGACATTTTACCTGCATCTATGGCAAGCATCCTCAGTGGTAGTGAGGTCTGTTGGAACAATGGGACTGTTTGTAAGGGGAATCAGGAAGAAGTTGTGCTTTTGTTGTCTAGTGTAAATGCTGGCATATAAATGAATAAACCTAAGACAATGCCCAAGAAGAGAAATATCACATGTTTTTGTTTTGCAAAATTATTGATAGGTATCCCTTCCCAGTTTCATCCCTGCTTAGTGGGTTTCTTGGAAGGATGCAATGATTAATTCACACCACTACTTTCTAGTGTCCAACCCAAACAATGTCCGGGCAACTGTAAGGTAAAGGTAAAGGTTTTCCCGACATTAAGTCCAGTTGTGTCTGACTCTGGGGGTTGGTGCTCAATTCCATTTCTAAGCCAAAGAGCCGGTGTTGTCCGTAGACACCTTCAAGGTCATGTGGCCAGCATGACTGCATGGAGCGCCTTTACCTTCCCACCAAAGCGGTACCTATTGATCTACTCACATTTGCATGTTTTCGAACTGCTAGGTTGGCAGAAGCTGTGGCTGACAGCAAGAGCTCACACCACTCCTCGGATTCAAACCTGTGACCTTTCAGTCAACAAGTTTAGCAGCTCAGTGGTTTAACCCACTGTACCTACTGTGATTGATCTGGTAAAACAAGGACATTTTGATAATGCAGACACAAGAAGCACCTTGACTATAAGCAGTCAAGAATCAGAAAGCTTACTGTCTTTTCCCAAGCCTTTCCGGACTTAGTTTAAATGAATTTACAGCATGAACATCAGTGCTAGTTAGGAATTGGTACTTTTCTGTCATCTCCTACATTAACCATAGCAAGTACTTCCTCAGACACTCAGGGCAGAAGAGTCTGTTCACTGCTTCCTTTCCTGCAGTCTGCCACTGGTCCTCATAACCCTGAATCAAGCCACTCTGAGAGTTTCCCTTGAGAAAGTGTTTTTAGTTGCCATCATGTAGTTGTAATAAATACCATAATAATAGCAACATTTCCAGGATCTGCGTTGTTTTTTTTCATCCATAATGATCTTCACATACTGATCTCCTTAGGAGTTTTTTGCCCAGCCACTGTAAAGGTAAAGGTAAAGGTATTCCCCTGACATTAAGTCCATTCGTGTCCAACTCTGTGGCTTGGTGCTCATCTCCATTTCTAAGCCAAAGAGCCAGCATTGTCCATAGGCACCTCCAAGGTCATGTGGCTGGCATGACTGCATGGAACACGGTTACCCTATACTGCTCTGGTCCAGCGTACCTGTCCGAACGTATCTCCTACGTCCCACCTTGGAGTTTAAGATCTTCCAGGGAGGCCCTGCTCTCAGCCCCGCCTCTGTCTCAAACATGTTTGACGGGAACAAGGGACAGGGCCTTCTTGGTGGTGCCCCCCCCTGCCTGTGGCATTCACTTCCTGGGGAAATTAGGTCATCATCATCCCTCCTTACCTTAGAAAGAAGGTAAAACTTGGATGTGGGACCAGGCCTTCAGGTAATTAGGTGGAAATGACAGTTGACAATGTTGACAATGGCTTGGAAATGGATTATGGATAAGTTAAACGGAGTACTCAATCATAGTATATGGCTAGATAAATGGCCACCAGACTGGTAATAGCTCAGTGGACTGTAACTATATTGCTTTAATGTTCTATGACTTCATGTTTTTAACCTTTTAACTATTATAATTATTGCTGTTTTGTATTTTATTATACGGTATCGAATTATTGCCAATTGGAAGCCGCCCTGAGTCCCCCCAGGGGTTGAGAAGGGTAGGATAAAAATGTTCGAAATAAATAAATAACCTTCCCTCCAGAGCGGTACCTATTGATCTACTCACGTTTGCATGTTTTCAAACTGCTAGGTTGGCAGAAGCTGGGCCTAACAGTGGGAGCTCACGCCACTCCCTGGATTTGAACCTGTGAGCTTTCGGTCATCAAGTTCAGCAGGTCAGCACATTAACCCACTGTGCCACCGAGGGCTCCCACATTGCTAATTCAGTCACTCTCTCCTCCCAGGAAATGTTCACAGATCTGCCGGGTATACTACAGACCACAGCCTGAGGCCATGCTCCCCAACAGAATCTGCAAAGTCAAAAGAGCCTAACTTTTGCCAGGAAGAGGACTGTGGGCTAGTGGCAAACAAGAGGCGGTCGTACTCATTTACATCTGGTATGTAATTAATGACTGAGAAGGAGAACTTTACTAGGTAGAAATTGGGAAAGGACAAAGGAGATCGATCTCCCATCTGCCCCTTAGTTCTTTTCCAGTTTGTTCCAAGAATTCTCTGAGCTCCTATAGTCTCTGTCTAAAGCTTATTCACTTTGACTTTTTCCAGCTACACACACTCATGCCCTTCTGTGCAGACCGTTGTGTGACCAGCATGATATCATTACGCTATTTTCCGTTTCTGGCTGTGTCCTTTTAAGGTTCCTCTCAAAGTAACAAGTTCATTGTTTGATTTTGCCACTAGGGGTCAGCAACACACTTTGGCCTCAAATTTACAGGTACAATGTTGAGGTTCTTGAAGACTTGTAAAAAAGATGTTAAGATGCCTTCTCATGTCTCTTCTATGTTTGTAATCATCCAGTCATTTATCTCCAAATGTGTCATCCAGTCTCCCCAATGAAAGAAATAGTAATTGCTCCTGTGTGACATTTGCAAGTTTCTATTCTGAGAACTAAGTTTTGACAAAATAGAATGTGGGCACATCATCTTTTTGGACTGCACCTCCTAGAATCCCCAGCTACATGGCCTGCCATGGTCTTAAAAAGTAACTTTTCTAGGTTTTCTTTGTGCACAAAGCAGCTTTGTGTTTTCTGCTTTATGAATGAGGGATAGTGGAATGCTGTGCCTCAGGCAACCATGGCTTAGAGCCAAGTGGCTTATTGGAAAGACCCAGATTCAATGCGTAATCCCTGAGCTATGCGGCCATGCCCTCTGCCCTGGAAATTATTTCATGTTTCATTATTTATTTAATGGATGCATATCCCCTTTTCCCCTTTCATAATGCAGCGCTCAAGGCAGTAAATAAGTTAAATTAACTGTGTACATGATTTTAGAAATTTAAAGCATAAAAAGAACTTGTAGTGAAAATTACGAAGTTTTTAAAATAGAAGGTGGCAGGAAGCACATAGAAGAGGGGAGTGTGATCTCCTAGGAAACAGATTTTCTCTGTACTCATGAAATAAACTTTATAATGGTGCTGAGCCACGTATGAAGACCTTTGTAACTGAAGGTGATGTGAAAACAGTGTGGGAGAAGAGCCTTTAAATAAGCTGGTTCCAAGCCATTTGGAACTTCAATCTGAATGTTGTATTTATTATATCTTAGATGTGGAGTAGTAGCAGATACACAGGGGCAAGGTACAAGCACTCTGAACTTCCATCAGATATTGCCTCTCAGAATACTCATACACAGATGTATGCCTATTTACTCAAGTATAAGCCAAGTTTTTCAGCCCTTTTTTAGGCTGAAAAAGCCCCCCTCAGCTTATACTTGAGTCAAAGTTATTTATTATTTTACTCTGTTGTTGTTATTATTATGTTAAATGTTTTGGACTTACAAGTCATATCACTCCAACCATCTTTAATTGTGGCAATGGAGCTTGTAGTGCAGCACTTCTGAAGAGCACTGGACTGGGTATGACAGTCATAAAAATAATGAGCCAGTGCCCCTAAAAAGGATGACTATTGCGTGTTGTCTTCGCACTGCTGCAGTAGTTCACTTTTAATTCATCCCCATTCTCTCTTTCAGCTACATACCAGAAGGTTTCCCCTTTGTCAGTGTCCAAAGAACCCCTGGGCGTTGGCAGCAGCTATTCAGTCACTCTTTACATTGGAGAGCAAGCATCTGCTCCCTCCAGACCTCGCTGCCATTCCTTCGTAGCCACTGCTGGTACATCCCAAGATCTCTTGGGTGGGAGTAGCCAAGGCGCCTCACCCCGCCAGAAGAACAAATCTGTTTTCAGAAAGTTCTTTGGGAAGAAAGACTGAGTTACCAGCTCATTCCAGCACAGGACCTTTCGTTGATCTACTAGGCCTGATTGCTTCCTGTGACTACTATTCAGTTGCACATCTAGCCACTAAGGTTTGCCAAGAAGTGGTTGGAAAAGGCTCTGCTCATGTTAAACACCCTCTTAATCCTGTTTTACACTGTTTTTACACTTCACCTATCCAACCCTAATAGGTATTTATGGGGTCAATCTTTATGTTTTGGCAGGGTTGTCTATGCCAACCACCTTGAGACTTTTCCTTGTAGGCACTCAGTTCTTGTTTGCCATGCAAGCTAATGAAGAAATCAGACAAAGCATCCTAATGTTTGCCTAGTTCTTGATGGGATCAAAGAAAGAAAGAAAAAAAAGGGGGGCTTTCTTTTCACCAATTATGCTACACAATAATATTACAAGCACAGGGTTGACAGCTGTTCTTTATTTTCCTTTTTCTGTACTTGACCTTGTTGTTGTACCTCTCAACCTAGGATGGACAACTGCTTCGCCAAATTCCAGAAGCTGTTGGTATGTCATACATGTCACACATTTAGACCAGAGGGATGGGAAGACTGCTTCTTTGTAATACATCTTCCTGGAATTCCCCCCAGTCAGCATAGCAGCATGCATACTGACTGGATTCTGGGAGCTACAGTACAAAAAAACCCAAACAAGTCATTTCCCAACTTGTCGTTTAGGTCTCAACAATTTCTTTCACAGCTTCCCCTTGGATAAAGGAAAAGAAATGCAGTGGGCTCAGCTACTTCCGGTTCTGGTCCAATCTACTACTGTGTTCCAGCATCCACTTCACAACTGATTATCCCTAAGGCCAGGGTGGGCATTGTGCAGCCTTCCAAAGGTTGTTGGATTGTAACTCCCAGCATTCCTCACCACTGCCAAAACTTACTAAACTTACTGTTGTGTCTTACAGTTCAACCATTTCTGAAAGGCTGCATGTTTCCCTTCCACCTCCCCTAAGGGAATGTGGCTCCTGACATGTGGTTCTCAACCTCTGGGTCCCCAGATGTTTGGGCCCTCAACTCCCAGAAATCCTAACAGCTGGTAAACTGGCTGGGATTTCTGGCCAAAACACCTGGGGACCCACAGGTTGAGAACCACTGCTTTAATTGATCAGCAGATACAGGCAAGTGATGAAAGCCAGTGTGATGTAGCGGTTTGAGTTTGGACTAAGATTCTTGGAGGTGACCATTCAAATCTCTGCTCGCTCACAGAAACTGATCTTGGACAAGTCACATTTCATCAGATGAAGGCAATGCCAAACCTCCTCTGAATATATCTTACAAAAAGAAAGCACCAACCCTAGGAGGTGATCATCATAAATTGGAATTGACTTGAAGGAACATGGTAACCAGAACAGTTTCTCTCCATGCTGTGAAGAGCCACCTGTTTCTTTTTCCCAGGCCAAGCTGATGTAAATGATAACAATATCACACACAGGGCAATTATTTTCTGATCAGCAGGAGAACATGAGTGAGACCTAAAGCCTAAGGAGTTATTTCTTAGGGAAATATGTACATTACTGATGGATTAGTATTAGATGAGGGCTGCTGGTAGCTCTGGGCAGTAATACATTTTGGAGATTCCAAAAGGACAATTTATGTATTTTTAATATTAAAAAATAAAACCTAGACCAAGCACCTCATTGTCATTCTGTTGTCTTCTGCGACGGTGCCAGTGTGGCAATTAATGCTTGTTAAATAGCTGATTGCTTCTCTTTGGGAGACATTAAAATCACATTAAAAGACCAGCTAACTGTCTGCGTCCTTTCATTGAAAATGTATTAGAGTTAACTGAGTTATACTTTAACTGATAGGCAATAATCCTGTTACAGATTGTCGCACTTAACAGATAATGGTTAAAAGAAGGGAAATTTTGTTGTCAAAGGCTTTCATGGCCAGAATCACTGGGTTGCTGTGAGTTTTCCAGGCTGTATGGCCATGCTCCAGAAACATTATCTCCTGACGTTTCATCAACTATGGCAGGCACCCTCAAGAAGTTAAGGGGTCTGTTGGAAATGAAGCAAGTGAAGTTTATATATTTCTGGAAAACCAGGCTTCAAAGCTGTAAGGCCATTAAATACTAATTAGTGTGGCCAATTGCAACATTCCCACTTGCCTCAAGCAGACAAGAGTTCTTTCTCCCACCTTGGACATTCCAAAGATATATAAATCTCACTTGCCTAGTTTCCAACAGACCCCTCAACCTCTAAGGATGCCTGCCATAGATGTGGAGGAAACGTCAGGAGAGAATGCTTCTGGAACATGGCCATACAACCCGGAAAAGTCACAGCAACCCAAAAGGGAAATTGTTGACAGAAGCCTTGGGGAGTGCTTTTTGTTTTATCATGATCAATGTATCTTGACCCTCTAGATCAGTGGTTCTCAATCTGTGGGCCCCCAGGTGTTTCGGCTGTCAACTCCCAGAAATCCCAGCCAGTTTACCAGCTGTTAGAATTTCTGGGAGTTGAAGACCAAAACACCTGGGGATCCACAGATTGAGAACCACTGCTCTAGACGAATTGGACTACACCCCCCATCTTTTCCCCAATTTGCATGGCATTCAAATGTGCTAGATAGGAGTTTTGGGGTTCTTATAACTTCACATTCAGCACCAATGCAGAGAAGGTTTATCCAGATTAAAGAGTTATGTGGGAAGTTGTAAGGATGCTAAAGGCAGAGGGCAGGGCCTTCGTGTATTTTGCTTTCACGTTTAACATTGCAAAGATCCACCAAGATTGACAGAGCATTTGGAGCAGCAAGCACAGTGGGCACTTAACCCTTCCTTTACTGGAGCCAGTGTCCTTCTCTGTAGGAATGCCTGGCTCGATATCCAGGGATGCCTGGCTTGGTAACAGTACATATAAAAAAGATCTTGGAGTTCTTGTGGACAACAAGTTAAACATGAGCTAACAATGTCGTGCGGCAGCAAAAAAAAAAAAGCCAATGGGATTTTGGCCTACATCAATGGGTGTATAGTGCCTAGATCCAGGGAAGTCATGCTACCCCTCTATTCTGCCTTGGTCAGACCACATCTGGGATCATACTGTGTCTGATTCTGGACAATGGAATCTAAGGGAGATGTTGACAAACTGGAATGTGTCCAGAGGAGGGTGACTAAAATGACCAAGCATTTGGAAAACAAGCCCTATGAGAAGTGGCTTAAAGAGCTGGACATGTTTGGCCTGCAGAAGTGATGGCTGAGAGGAGACATGATGAGGGCCATGTATAAATATGTGAGGGGAAGTCATGGGGAGGAGGGAGCAAACTTGTTTTCTGCTGTGAATGCAGAACAATGGCTTCAAACTACAGTAAAGGAGATTCCGTTTGAACATGAGGAAGAACTTCCTAACTGTGAAAGTTGTTCAGCTCTCTGCCCTGGAGTGTAATGGAGACATCTTTGGAGGCTTTTAAATGGAGGATGGATTGCCATCTGTCAGGAATGCTTTGAATGCAATTTTCCTGCTTCTTGGCAGAATGGGGTTGGACTGGATGGCCCTTGAGGTCTCTTCCAACTCTTTGATTCTATGATTCTCCGAAAAGCTTGGTTCTTGTTTGACATGGATGGAAAGGGAAGAAATGAGGCAATTTCCAGGTACATGGGTGTTGAAACAGCATTCGTAATCAAATCGGGAGTGCAGAGGCAGAATCATGTTACTTTGGTTTGTTTACTTTCTAATTTCTAATACAGAAGAGAGAAAGGTTAAAATGATCCAAGTAGGGTGAGTCTTTGCAAGTGAAGGCATAGTTCACAATGGAAAAAGAATTGAAAACTTGCCTGCCTTCCAACTCTGCCTTGCAAGTGCCCTTTGGCCCAGTATGAGTAGCTAAGGAAACATAGCTGTTCTGCTCTCTCAAATAAAATAATTCTTGCTGGATGGAATTATGATGTGGAAGAAGACTATCCTCATCCATTTATTTCTATGCTGTTTTTCTAATCAGTTGTGCTCATAGCAGCTCTCCTCACATCCACGTGAACACTGATAAGTATCAGTTCAAATGGCATAATAGGAGCCATTGCAAATATTCACTGTGTTAAGTAAATACACAATATAAATATCAGTAAATCCTGACTTATTTATTCCAGACCAATACAAACAAAGTGACCTTGTCTGACAATTTAAACAGGACAGAAGCTAAAAGCCTTACACTTAAATAAAAATGCAGTTAATGGAATGGAAGTTAAATAATTTCCATTGCACAATTAACCGCCACCTGCTAGTTATGAATCACACCTCCCTCACTTGTGGATTTAATCTTAGCTTTCACAATTTAGCTTCCTTACACATTCACCCTTTATCTTGGAAACTAGTCCAGCGGAGTCACTTATTTTAACAACACCAAAAAGTAAACATCCACCTTTGCCAGAATGGGAACAGCCAAAAAGAGAAGCTGGAAGAAACATTTTTGTTTTGTTTGTGTGTGTGTGATGAGCGACATGAGAAATTGCAAGTTGCTTCTGGTGTGAGAGAATTGGCCATCTGCAAGGATGTTGCCCAGGGGACGCTCAGATGCTTTACCATCCTGTGGGAGGCTTCTCTCATGTCCCTGCATGGGAAGCTGGAGCTGACAGAGAGGAGCTCACCCCACTCTCCGGATTTGAACTGTTGACCTTTGGTTCACCAAGTCCTGCCGGCACAAGGGTTTAACCCTTTGTGCCACCAGAGGCTCCTGGAAGAAACATGATGCATAGCGACACTTTTTGTGGGCACAGCTTCAAGAACAGTACCTTTGGGACACTGTTCACAGATGACAAATTGTTCTTCACAAAAGTATATGCCTAGATGGTAATATTCACATAAAAACACACAGTGCCAAAGGATTTAAAAATACTCACATCTCTGCTAATTAGGTGTATTTTGCATGTCTAAAATGGCTATAAACATGAACAATAAATTGGTAGGTCCCCATTTAAGAACATAAGAACATTTAAGACCAGGTATCCACCCAAGGGCAGGCAACTCAATCTTCAACCTGTAGCATGTACTAGTATAGCCAGATACATTTCTAGGTTGTCATTCCGCCAACCTGGTTAGATTTGCTGGACTCTAACTCACATCATTCCAGCTAGCATGGTCATTGGCTGTACTGGATGCATATCTGGGGGATGCAGGAATGGGAGAGGCTGCAAGATAGTATATTTTGAAAATTTGTTGTTAGTAATGATAGTATGGAGCCCTCACACTCAGTGGCACAGTGGGTTAAACCACTGAGCTGCTGAACTTGCTGACCGAAAGGTTGGTGGTTCAAATCAGGGGAGCAGGGTGAGCTCCCACTGTTAGCCAACCTAGCAGTTCGAAAACATGCAAATGTGAGTAGATCAATAAGTAACACTCCGGTAGGAAGGTAATGGCACTTCATGCAGTCATGCTAGCCACATAACCTTGGAAGTGTCCACAGACAATGCCGGCTCTTGGGTCTTAGAAATGGAGATGAGCACCACCGTCAAGAGTCGGACACGACTAGACTTAATGTCAAGGGGAAACCTTAACCTTTAACTTTAGTGGTAGCAATAATTGTATCATTCCCATTTCTAGAAAATAATTACTGGAGAAGACTAGATTGTAAATCCAAACCTACAGTACTGAAGGAGAAGATTAAGAACATGAAAAGTGGGGAAACTTTAGATCAGTCGGCTCTGGGACATACCTGCTGGTCTAATCCACTCCTGCTGGCAAAAGAGCCGTGTCAGCTGCTCTCACAAGGCAGGGAAGGCTGAGGAAGGGCAATCAGAGTTAGTGTTTACACTGAAATTGGCACTGGCGCCCTGGAGAGCTGGATGCAGCTTAGCTCCAGAAGTCTGGACTGTGCAGCCGAGGAACCATTTTTCCTTCATATTAAATGCTCAATGGTGGTTGCTCAGTTTGTTCAATGAGCAGAGCACATCAAATTGTTTCTTTCTGAAAAGATGGAACAGGGAATAAATAACGAGAGGCATAAATAGGACCTTGGATGTGCAAAAGGAAGGTATTGGGAGATCTTTTTTAACAAACATGCAAACGAAGCTAGTCCTACCATTAAGCAGAGTCCGGCAGACACCTCAAGTGGCAGACATGGGTGCCAATCTAGAAATTGTGGGGGTACCAAAATAGGAAGTCTAACTATTGAAGTGACTTACTTTTCCCACATAACCACATTTGTAGATTATCAGTTCCCATTGTATGGCTCACACAGTGTTCTATTTTTGGCTACTTTCTCTTCTCAGTCACACTTTCTGCCATGTAAAGATTATTTAGTATACTGCAATGAGTGTTATATATTTCAAACCTGACAGATCTCTTGTCAGTATTACTATTGAGATCTAATTTAGACATGATCTGATGCCAACTAAAGAAGATCTTAGGCCCTGATCCTTCTCAAAGCAAGGAGAAGGAATCTTGGGGGGGGGGGGGGGGGGGGGGAGGCTTTGGAAAGTGTGTGCAGATATATGTATTATTCTTATGGGCTAGATTTTTTGTTTTTTGTTCATTTTGGCCCCTGTTCCAGAAGAAGGATATGCAAATTAAACAAATATATACATGGTTTCTGTAACCATGGTTGCCTATGTAACCGTATCCGTATTAACCTGTGTATCCGTAGTAAGCTATGGATGCGAGAGCTGAGCGAAGGAAGATAGACGCTTTTGAACTGTAGTGTTGGAGGAAAATTCTGAGAGTGCCTTGGAATGCAAGAAGATCCAACCAGTCCATACTCCAGGAAATAAAGCCCAACTGCTCACTGAAGGGAAGGATATTAGAGGCAAAGATGAAGT